TCGATTGATATTTGATAGTCATCAACTTATATTAGGGTAAATAAACAAAATACAAAAATATTTTAAATGAAATATTTACAATAGATTTTTTCAAATTAGAATCTCTATTTATTTAAAATATTTATTTGAAAAAAATATATACTCCCGTCATTTGAAAAAATATCCTTATTTGACTTTCACGTACGTAGTTTAAAAAAATGTTAAAAATAAAAACTTTATAGTTTGAATATATTTAGAAAAAAACAAATAAGAGTTGTGAGTTACTCATTCCTTTCTAAAAAGAAAATGAATTTTGAGACATACAAAAAGGAAAAGAGTGTAGTCTTTTTTTGAATGTGACAAAAAAGTATAAAATTCTTTGTAGAATGTAGATAGTATATATTTTTTCAAATTGTTTGAGTATTTTATGTATAACTGATATGAAGTATTACTTGTATTTTGTTTAAATATTTTTTGGAACAAATTAATATTTGTTGTTGTACAAAAAATTTATAATGAAATATTCAATTCATACGTACTATACGTAAGTATACGTATAGTATCAAATATACGTGTATTTTAAAGTATTTTTGAAAATCATACGGATACGTGAGTATAATACGCGTATTATACGTACGTAACTATATAATACGTGTATTATACGCGTATTAACTAACTAGGGTATGTACAATGCACCAACTATAGTCTAATAATCCAAACTATTGTTATATTCTTACAATAATACAAACTAGTTAAGGACCGTATGTTATGGTAATTAAGCACGAGGAAAGAATTTAAATTGCTGTATATTTCCTCCGTCATAGTATATTTCTATTGTATTATTTTTTTCAAGTGAAACTGGATCAATTTAAACTTCAATTAAACAAAAATTGTAATGTATAATAACATAAAAATATTTTTATTAGATTTATTCAGGCGAAAACTTTAAAAAAAATTAACATTCAAAATTTAATTTAATTGTACTAATGTGTAATATAAGTGTCGTGAAGATGAATTGTCGCATCATCTCCCAATGTTATTTCAGAAGCCGTACAATTGTGATTTGTGCTACTCCTCTTGTCCGAATTTTGTTTTTCTGTTTTGAATTTTCCTCATGTTTAAGGGAGTTTGATGATGGGTAGATTGGTCTAAAATAACGCGAATAAGTGGATTTGTACAAAATACCTTTACTAAAAAATACTTAAACCTGAGAAGTCAAAAGATTCAATCCGGATAGACAATCTTGAATCGAACATATATGCTAATTTATATTACAATAAAGTAATCATTTAATTTTATATTTCTTTATTAAAAAAATTCTTTTCAAATTTATTTTGAAAAGATATTGGTCAAGTTTTAAACATAAACATGTACGTACGCACCATAAAATTAGACTAGTTGGTACATTAATTGTACATACATACGCACCATAGGTATTACGGAGGGTTAGTAATTTAGTATTATGGAGTAGTAAGTACATACATTATTAATTGTATAAGTACAATTAAGTTACGGAGGGTTAGTATATAGTATTAGGGAGTAGTAAGTATACTACGTATTATATATACACATTAATAAATATGATTAGTTGTTATAATATACGTGTACATGATTAATTGTAGGGTAATTTACTTAAATAGGATTAAAACATAATGATTTTTTACAACATAGGACTATATGTTTTTATTTCCGAATGTAGGACATTTGGTCATTATGAATTAGTCATTATTCAAGTAAATGTCCAACTGGACATTATTCCTCCCACTAAGACATTAATAAGTGCTATTTAGGAAATAAAAAAGTTTAAATCCTAGATTAGGAAAGTCATTATGTTTTAGTCTTATTTAGTGCAAATTTTACTTAATTGTACTACTCCCTCCGTCCGGAAATATTCTTCCCGTTTTCCTTTTTGGTCCGTCCAAAAATAATCTTCTCATTTCCTTTTTTAGTATGCTTTTTAAGTCTAAATATCAATAATACCCTTCTATTTTATCACAAATCTACTTTTTTAATACTTTTTTAATAATAAAAGTAGATTTAAAAGTTTATAGTATGTGCATTTTTGAAAATTTTGCATTTTTTTACTATTCCTTAATAAGCGTGCCAAGTCAACACAGGAAGAAAATTTCGGGACGGAGGGAGTATTATACATTAATTGTACTATTATGTACACACCTTAATTGTATTATTATTCGGAGTATACATGTATATACATTAATTGAAAAGAGGGTTAGTATTATGGAGTAGTAAGTACAATTAGTTGAAAAGAACATGTACATACATTAATTGAAAAGAGGGTTAGTATGATGGAGTAGTAAGTACAATTAGTTGAAAAGAAACATGTACATACATTAATTGAAAAGAGGGTTAGTACTATTATATACGGTAAGGGTTAAATTAGTACTCCCTCCGTTCTTAAATATTTGCCACACTTATATTCCTGAGGCAAAATATTAAGTTTTTTCAATTCATTTTATTTACATATTGGTATAGAAATAAAAAATAAAATTTATATATCAAAAAACTACATGAAAAGTTCTTCGAAATAAGAGGTGTCAAGAATATTTTATTTTATCAAATAACCAATGAAAATGTCGAAATAAACAAAAGTTCCCGCAACACCGAAAAAGCAAACGTTGCAAACATTTCGGGACGGAGGGAGTATGAGAGAGTTAAATTATTAGTACGAACAATTAGTACCATATTATACATACAATTGAGAAGGTTAGAGCTATTATATAGAGTAAGGGTTAAATTAGTATGAGAGGGTTAAATTAGTACGTACAATTAGTATCATATTATACATACAATTGAGAGGGTTAGTACTATTACACATACATTGCAAGGGTGGTTAAATTAGTACGTACAATTGAGATGATTAGTACTATTATACTCCCTCCGTCCCTAAATATTTGCCACATTTGTATTCCCGAGGCAAAATATTAAGTTTTATCAATTCATTTTATTTACATATTGATATAGAAATAAAAAATAAAATTTACATATCAAAAACTACATGAAAAGTTCTTCGAAATAAGAGGTGTCAAGAATATTTTATTTTATCAAATAACAAATGAAAACGTAGAAATAATCAAAAGTTCCCGCGACTACTGAAAAAGCAAATGTTGCAAATAATTTGGGACGGAGGAAGTATACAGTAATTTGTACTATTATAAAAAATATACTTCCTCCCAAATATAAATCTCAACGACATTTTTTCTTGAGCTCTGGAAGTTTAATTTGGGACAAAGAGAATAGGTGCATAACTAATGTCTAAATCCTTCTTTATATATACTCTGGAATAAAGTAAAAAATATCTGTGCCAAAATTTTTTTCTTTTTTTTTAAAGATTTCAACAACTTGCTTTTTTTTATTTTTAAACATTTTTCTAAACTCTGTGTCGAGGAGAGGAAGCAAATAGTATTTAAAAGTGCGAAAAATGCATGTATGATTTAAAACAAAAAAGTGAAAGGAATATACTTCCTCCGTCCCATAAAGTCAGTCTCGTTTCAGAAAAAATTGCGTCTCTTCTCCAACTATACCACCACCACTCCACGCCCATCTTCTTAGAGCACGAACAATGGCAAGTAGAGAAATAAAATGACACACGCTGAAGTGGCGTATTTCAACGTAACCAATAACAAACAGTCTACTCATAGAGTGCCATGTGTGTGGAGTAGCAACCCGTACAATGGGAAGTCATTCTTTTTATTTTTTTCTCAAAAAAAGAAGATGTATATATTGTGATTAATAAAAATTATATTATCATCAAAGAATATTTTTACTACCTTTGTAAAAAGCTTATTTAATTTCTCTTTTGAGAATTAGAAAATGTAAATCAAGTTGTTTTTATATTCTTGGAGAAAATAGAAGAAAAATCAATTCATCAATAAAAAAGTAAATTTTATGTAGAATTTAGTGAACTGAATGACATGATTATTTCATTGATACCGGAGGATATAAATACAAGTTACAAGCCCAACATGATAGGCCCACAATATTACAAAATAATATACATAAACTTATATATACACAATATACGCTAACACTCACCCTCAAGTTGGAACATAGAAATCAAAAATGCCCAACTTGGACAAAAGTGCAACCGTGTAGGAACATAGGTTGTGACAATATGAGCATGGTGGAGGCATTCTCGAACTATATGACAATCGATATCAATATGTTTTGATCGATCATGAAACACCAGATTAGCCGCAATGAAGAGAGCGGACTTGTTATCACAATACAAGCGCGGGGTAGCAACACAAGGAACCTGCAAAGCGGCTAAGAGACCACGGAGCCACCGGATTTCGGCGTAGGCGTTAGCCATGGCGCGGTATTCTGCCACTGCGGAAGAACGTGAAACGGTGGTTTGCTTCTTAGTACGCCAAGAAATAGGGGACCCGCCAAGAAGGACAAAATAACCAGTGAAAGAGCGACGGGTGATCAGACAACTCGCCCAATCTGAATCAGAATAAGCTGTCAAGGTCAGGTCACTATCACGCTGGAGGAGGATACCTTGTCCTGGGTGCCCTTTAAGATACCGGAGAACGCGAAGAGCCGCGGTCCAATGGTCCAGACGTGGAGCCTGCATAAACTGTGACAAAACATGAACATAACATATATCTGGCCGAGTAATAGTCAAGTACAACAAACGGCCAACAAGACGACGGTACTTGGCGGTATCCCGAAGCTCAGCACTAGTTTTTGACAGTTTTTTGGCCGGGTGATCCTACCACAGCAAGTGGTTTCAGGGACTGCTTCTCCGCATGTTGGCCAAATCACAACCATGATATCTTGTTTTTATTAGTTAAAATTTAACTAATTGGTTGGATCAGCTCGAATCCAATGACACTGGGTCATGAATATGTAGTTATCAACACGAACCCAAACTTATCCGACACAAATAATTTGAATCCAAGGTGACCGAACCCTAATCCGACCGGACCGATTTGCCAAGTTTAATTGTAGCCTTGTTTTCATGGGTGATTTTTCTGCATGTGTAAATTGGTTGAAAAGTGTTCCATTATACGGAGTAAATGATTAATTAGAGAAACCGAGTCAACTCCGTCCACCTTTTTTGATCTATAGGCGGAAGAAAGGGAAACATGCACGAAAAGTGGAGATGGGGATCTCCACCTTTTATTTTTTCAAAATATCAAAAGTTTTTGTTTATTTCTCAACTTTGTTCCTATATCTTTTTTAAATCAATTTTTTTTCTTTATTTATTATAATTTAAAAACAATTTTTTTTATAAAAAGCAGAAAATTATTTACATATAATGGAACAATCTACTAATAATAAAATGCATAAATAAAATAATTTCTTATTGACTTTAAATAATGCAGCAAACAACGAAATTAAAATAAGAAGTAAATCACAACAAATTTATTCCTAAAGTACATACAATTTATTCATAAAAATAAGATTACCAAACACATGCCATAACTAATTTATTTTGTGAAATTCATAAAACATAAAGTTAGACATAATAAAAATTTATTGATCGAGTACATATAATTTATTCATAAAAATAAGAGTAAATTTCATAATTAGTCTTTTATAACAGGAAATTTCCCTATGGGGTAATATTTGATAATAGAAGATTAAATATGGAAAACTCTCATGTTATAAAGGACTGATCATGGAATTTACTCTAAAAATAAGGTTACAAAACACATGCCATAACTAATTTATTTTGTAAAATTCATAAAGCTATTGTTCATTGCAATGTCGCCGTGGTCGATAGTCCATGTTATTCGGACAACGAGTTCTTGTAGGTCGACCAATTTGTGTCCTCTCTCGTACATTTGTTCTCACTATCTCGTATCCTGGAGTAAGCCATTCGGCCTCATCGGGAAGCGGCATTAAACATGAATGCACGGAATGCATGGACACACTTTATTTAGAAATTATGAGAAAATTATACTTAATTATAATATGCATTCAATATATTTTGCTTCAACTTAGTATATACTACTATCTCTTTCCCTTATTTTTTATACCCTACCTGATCACGTCATACTTTTTCTCTAATAACTAAACTATCACATCTTACTTTTACCCATCACATCAGGAGCAATATTGGAAAGTCAACCAAAATTTCATTTTTCTTAGTTTTGCCAAAAGTTAAAAGTAGAAAGAATTAAAGAAAAGGATGGAGTAAAAATTTTCTTGTTCGTTTCTTTTTCAATTCTTTCTTTCTCTCTTCGTCTCTCTCTTTTTTTTTCTTTTCTTTTTCATCTCCTTATCTTAATAATCTTATCGTCTATCATCTACTTTCTTTTCTTTTTATTTTTCTTCCTTCTTCTTTCTTCTCTTTCTCCTTACCCTTTTTCCTACCACCCGTTAATTTACCCTTACCCTCGAACATCGATCTGTGCTAATGGAGGCAAAGTCTCCGAGTCACTCCCCACAACGCCGAAAGAGAGGCAAAAGGAGCTATCTTGAAACCCAAATCCCCGACACCTCCACTCAATCGTCGTCTACCCCAGAATCATACCTCGCCTTCCCTCCGCTTCTTCCAAACATTCTTTTAGAAATCCTCTCAAGGCTCCCTGTAAAGTCCCTCTTGAAATTCCGGTGCGTATCCAAATCATGGCGCGATCTGATTTCCAGCTCCGATTTTGTGAGGTTGCATCTAAACGTGTCCTCTTCAAGGAGGGATTATGCCGACCACAAAATTCTGGGCAGTTTGGTTGGGCTGCAAGTCACCATGAAGCAATGCTCCCTCAAGTCTGTGATGTCCAGTCCCGTGACGGAGGCGTTCGAGGCCCATTATCCCTTCAGCAGCCCATACAATTTAGTCTGGTTTGCTGGTTCCTGCAATGGGTTGGTTTGCATTGCTATTGAAGAGAGAGCTATGTTCATATGGAACCCGGCCACCCGGAAAATCAAGAACTTGCCCGATGCGGGCATTGAGTTGAAGGCCGGGTTCCACTTTGTTTACGGGTTCGGGTATGACGAGCTGAATGATGATTACAATCTTAGTCCAAGACTCAACCACTCCATATTCCCTCATGACCCATACATCCAACTGGTACTTCTCATGCTGGCACATCACACAGAGATCACCACAAAGCACTCCCAATGTCAACTCAGATGGTCTTTCTCCATAATCCGGCTTTCCTACCTTTCCAAAGACTCCTTTAGACAAGTCTAGTGAAAAAATTTCCGAGCTGCCAGTATCACTATCATAATCAGGATACATTGCCCAATGGATCTTACCATTGACAAACTTACCCGGATCGTTCGACAAAACCCCACCCTTACAATCCCCAATTATCTTCCAGGAATCATTTCTCAAACTATACAACATAACCTCGGTCTCACCATAACCACTGCTGTGAAAGGTGGAGAAAACGCCAACCACCTTGTAATCATCATTCAGCTCGTCATACCCGAACCCGTAAACAAAGTGGAACCCGGCCTTCAACTCAATGCCCGCATCGGGCAAGTTCTTGATTTTCCGGGTGGCCGGGTTCCATATGAAAAAAATCCCAAATTTTCACAGTATGACAAGCGATTGGTGCTCTGAAATCCAAGATTTGGAAGAAAAAAAATCAAGAACTAATTTAATTTTGTAAAATTAAATTCAAAATTTGGAAACTAATTTACGCTGGAAATTTGAACCAACCCAAGTCGAAATTAAAATCGAATTTTATGACAGAAAAAAAATCAAGAACTATTCTAATTTAGTAAAATCAAATTCGAAATATGGAAACTAATTTACTCTGGAAATTTCGAACCAACCAAATTCGAAATTAAAATCGAAATTTGAAAACAAACCTAAATTGTAAATTCGGAACCTAAATCCAAGTGTGGAAAAAAACCTAATTTCAAATTTGGAAACAAACCTGGCTATTCAAATCGCGGTTCTCCTGCCGATCTTATGGAATCTTTTTTCGTTGAAGAATCTGAATAGCTTTTTAGAAAAATAATTTTCGTTGAAGAATCTGAATATAGCGAGCGGTAGATTACTTTGAAAACGCTAACGCTAAACGCTGTACGTAGATAGATTTTTCAAAACGCTAAGCTAACGCTATTCCCAAACAGGCTCGGAAATTCTTTTCTTGGGAGAGGCTTGGGCGATTTCAGGGAATTAGCGAAGAAGGGACGCGTAGAGGCTTACGTGTCTCAAAATTAGAATTCCTAAAGTGCCACATGTCAAAATTCTCTAAGGCATCAACTCTCAAATTTTATACTAAAGTATTCTTTACTTTTTTAATCTGTTCCCATAAAAATATAATTTCTTTGTTATTTCTTTAATTTTTTAAATTTGTTCCCATAAAAAATATGGTTTCGTCTTTCCTTTTTAGTTCTGTTTGCATTGAAAACATACTATATTTTAAAAATAACCTCCTTTGCTTTTCTAAGTAATAATAATAATAATGTCATCGGTCCTATATTTATTTTTTGTTAATTCTTTACTATTTTTAATGATTTCTCATTAAAAAATATATTTTTAAATATATTTTATGAACTAAAGTAATCACAATTTTAAAGAATAATAATAATAATAGCATCGGTCCTATAATTCCTTGCTTGTCAATTCTTTACTTTTTTAATCTGTTACCATAAAAATGGTTATTTCTTTATTTTTTAATTTTTTTTACATTAAAGACACACTCTAATTTAAAAATAATTTCCTTTTCTTTTTTAAAGAAGAATAATAACACTAATAATATCATCGGTCTGATATTTTGTTTTTTGTTAATTCTCTCTTGTTTACAAATAATTTCTTTTTTTAAAAAAAAAGAATATTTTTCATGTGCTAAAATAATCATGATTATAAAAAATAACAATAACAACAACAGCAATAGCATCATCGATCCTATATTCTTTGATCTATTCCCATTAAAAAAAATTTCGTCTTTCCTTTTTAATTCTGTTCACATTAAAAACATACTATTATTTAAAAATAACTTCCTTTGCTTTTTCTAAATAATAATAATAATATCATCGGTCATATATTTCTTTTTTGTTAATTCTTTACTATTTTAATCAGATCCCATAAAAAACACAGTTTTAAATATTTTTCATGTACTAGAATAATCACGATTTTAAATAAAATAATAATAACATCAGCCTTATATTTCCTGGCTAATTCTTTACTTTTTTTAATCTGTTCCCATAAAAACGGTTTCTTCTTTCCTTTTTGATTTTGTTTACATTAAAGACACAATCTTGTTTGAAAATAACTTCCTTTGCTTTTTTTAAGAAGAATAATAATACTAATAATATCATCGGTCCGATATTTTGTTTTTTGTTAATTCCTTACTGTTTAAAATCTTTTCTCATAAAAAACATGGTTTTAAATCTTTATCATGTCCCTACTTAATCATGATTATTAAATAATAATAATGATAATAATAATAATAATAATAATATAAATTATAATAAAAATAATAAGAAGAATAATAATAATTAAAAAATAATAATAACAATAGCATCAGTCCTATATATATTTCATTGTTTGTTAATTTGTTACTTTTTTTTAAAACGTTCTCATGAAAAAAAGGATTTCTTCTTTCCTTGTTTGTTAATTCTTTATTTTTTAAAAATGTTGCCATAAAAAATACAATTTCTTCTTTCCTTTTTAATTTTGTATACAATGGTGGATTACGTATTTATTTTGGTCCGATATTTCCATGTTTGTTGATTCTTTACCTTTTTCTTTATTAATGGTACCAAGAGAAATAAATTTCCTTATTCGATCTTAAATTACTGGATTATATATCATCTGTAGATCTCATTTTTTCTAAGAATCAACGGTTAAGATTGCTTTGCATTTGGGCGGGAAAACGCTGGTGCATTTTTTCCCTGCTTTTAAAAATAGAATGATAATTATTATTACTATCGTTATTATTATTACTACTATTAATTTTAGTAATATTATTATTGTTACTATTATTATTATTACTATTATTATTAAATATTTATTATTACTATTATTATTATCATTACTACTATTATACTATTACTATTATTATTGTTATTATTATTATTATTATCATTACTATTATTATTATTACTATTATTATTATTACATTTATAATTACTATTACTATTATTATGACTATAATTATTATTACTATTGTTATTATAATTATTACTATTACTACTACTACTAATAATAATATGGAGGAGTTTTACATCCATTCACTTTGAGTGGCTAAGGATGACACTAGCTTCAATTAAAGTGTATATATTGCTCTCTTCACAAAATTGATGGATCTTAGTCTTGACATTCTGATAAACCCTCTCACCGAGAGCGAGTGACTCTAGAACCATTTTAATAATTGTAGTTGTAATAATAATAATAATAATAATAATTTTAATAATAATAATTATTATTATTATATAAAAAATGCATGCAAATACTTTTAAATCACTATTGAAAGGAATAAGAAGATGTTAGATGACACTAGAAAAAGTAGAAACAAATTTGAAAATGATGGAAAAAGTTAAAAACATTAAATTGGGAGAAACTAGAAAGTGTTGGAAGAAATTAAAAAAAATTCAAAACTAATACAAAATTGGGAAATATTGAAAGTTAAGAGTGCATTTGGTTATAGAAAAATATATGTCTAGATAATTATTCTAGGAGAAAATCATTATCACAAAAATTTGTTCTCCTCCACATATATTATTGAAACATTGCTGATATTTGAATTAAAAACAAAGATACTTTGATATAATTTTAAATATTTTAGGGGCATAATTTTTTATATACATGATCGATTTCAAATTTTCTTATAGTGTTTCATTTTTAGGAGGCAGATGGGGGGAGGGGGCGGGCAGGGGGAGGAGATGATCAGGGGTG